TTAGAGACAAGGAATAACGGTGCTCTGTCCACATGCGCCAGAAGGGAAAGGGTGAAGGTGAAAGAGGGGGATGGGTGTGGTGCACTAGGTAAAGTGAGATGAAAAGGACAAGTCTTTCTTCATACATGAAAGCAAGAATCAGGAAATGCACTTCAAATGAAATTATCACTCTCCTACATGGAGTTTTAAATACTGCCACATTTAAACATGATTTCCAGTACCCTCTACACCCAAGCACAGAACCAGCTTAAACCTGAGCTAAGAAATTTGAGCCTAACCCTGGGTTACATCAAGGAGCTCTCTTCACTGGGGCCTGATCCGTTTCTGCCTGTTCTGATGAGGATCGAAGAAGACTTCTGAAAACATGTCTGGCCACGTTCTATGTGGCCCTCACACTTCATGCACCTGTGGTTCCAAAACTCATCCACGGGGGTTGTGTTAGTTTGCCCTGCTGTCTCCCCAGCTAGTGGGCAACAGGAGCTGGTTTTCATTTTTGTATCCTCAGCATAAGCACAATGTCCATCGTGGAATAGCGACTCCATAAAACGCCAGTTGGGTATGAAGCAGACCCTCACCCCCATATAACCATCCCTATCCCCCATACTGTGGCCTCCACATTGAGCTACATCCCCAGTCTTTTCGGGTTTTTTGGGTTTTGGGGTTTGTTTTTGAGGCAGGGCTTAAGTCTCTAAGTTGCCCAAGCTAGGACTGCCTCCTGCCTCAGCCTTCCAGACTGCTGAGATTACAGGCACGAAACACCATATCCAGCTAGTTTTAACAAAGTTGTGGAAGCAAATGGAGAGAAAATCCACAAAAGGAAGCTAGCTTACCCCTGGTTTACTAGTCTTTGAGCTCCATTAAGCAGACCTCAGCATACACACTCAGAACCCAATTATAATGGGGAGCATGACTATGTACTATGGAGGAAAGTTGCCTACGTGGCAAGCTGACCTACATTACTCAGAGGATAAGGAGGTGAGATGTGGACTAGCACATAGGCAGGAAGAGCACATGCTCCAAACACCAAGCGACAGCTGCCGCTTGCATCTCAGGGCTAGCTGCACGGACACGGATGAGAATTGCAACTCCTGCCTCGCCCTCAGTATATTTCCACTTGCAACACAGCTTTTTGAGATCCTGATGCACAAGATGCGCCCCAGACCAATGAAATCATTACCCCTGGAGGTGGTGCCCAACCTCGGTGTCTTTCGGGGGAAGGGAAAGTAAAAGGGATCAAGATGCAATGTGTTTATGTGCCAATTCCCCATGATGAATGTGTTATGTAGCACAACCATATACTGACAGAAACATCAAAAAAAGCATCCAGATTATTTTCCTAGGGATGCTGTAATAAATTACCACAAACTTAGTCACTTAAAAAGAACACAAATTATAGTAGAAAACAAATCGTAGTTGTGTCCTTCAGAAACTCAAAATGGGTCAGGCTCCCTGGGCTAAAGCCAAGTTGTTGGCACAGGGCGCCCCCTACTGGATGCTGTGGTTGAGAGCCTTTTTTCCCTAGAAACTCAATTTTCTTATTAATCTTTTCCAGCAATCCTGCCAGGGCCAATCTTCCATTTCTAAAAACAGTAATGCCTGGAGAAAACTTCACATTCCCCACCCCAACAATCCAAGGTAATCTCTCTGTTTTAAAGTCATCTGATTAGCAATAACATACACCTGCTGCATTAATTTCCATTTGCTGTGGAATGTAACATTTATAGCTTGCTGGGATTAGGGCATGGCCATCATTGAGGGACTATTAGCCTGCTTATCATGTCAAGTGACTCCAGTGAGCAGGTAACGCTGAGAACTCCTGGTGCCCCCATAAGACAGCCAGGCTAGGGAAGTGTCCCGATTAGGGAGCTGAGCTGGACAGCCTGGAGGCACACCAAACAGAGGCAGAGAACAGGTAGGCTGGTCTTGCTAGCTCTACACTTGCAGAACTTGCTTGGTGGGGACAAAGTTGTCATAGGATTTCTCATTCCATTCCCTGTAGAGCTTAACGGTACTCTCTCCCAAGAACATAAGACCATCTCTACCCAGCTGTAACCATTATAGTAAATTGAGGTCGTAACACAAGATGAGATTTTTTTCAGACTTTTCTGACCCGTAGCAATGAACTTGCTCGCTCAGCTTGGGAGTAGGCCAGTGCACCCCACAGCTCTGCAGGCTGTCCTCTACAGCAGAAAACAGAACTCTAGCCAAAGCCTTACTATGGCTCCAAGATGTGTGGTGAGTGACCCGCATTTGAACCCCACACACACCATTTAATGACCTAGGCATACAGTGGCAGCACTCCCACAGGACAAGGCTCAGGTGCTGAACAGCTGCTGCCTTTGGTTGGGGGCTTTAGTCTCCGCTTCGCCTCACCTCAATATGGCCACTTCTAATTTCTTCTTTACTTGGCCAGAAGAAATTTACATTTGCAATCCACTTCCTGTGTTCACATGCCTACAGTTCAGCAAAATCCTCCTAAAGGCTCATTTCCTTGTCATTAATATAAAAATGAATAGCTCTCGAGAGTAAGCACAGGATATACAGGCCAATGACTAAGCACACAAAACCTTGTCCTCAAGAGAAAAGTACCTGAGGGTAAAAAGCCTACAGCTGGTGAACATGCTGGTCTCCATTGCTACAAACATCTTTTTTATAGAAAATTAAGCGTACACTCACCGTCTATGTTGGTCAGCTTTCCAGTACTACAACAAATACAGTACCTGAGCTAAAGCAAACGATGAGAGGTGCATTGTGGAGGTTTCGCTCTGTGGCTGAGCAGACCACTGCTTCAGTTCAGTGGGAGGGCTGCACATGGTGGTGGTGTAAGCTGCTCACCACCTGCAGCTGGGAAGCAAACTCTGAGGAAGGGTCAGGGGCCAGTGTCCTGAAGGACACCCTGCAACAATCTCACTTCCTGCCACTAGGCCCTACCTCCTAAAGGCTCCACTACCTCCCAATAGTGCCACAGGAAGGGCCAACCCTGCTTCACCTTTGGGCGATATTAAAAATCCACACTATAGCACTCCCCAACTGTAATTTCCACCCATTGGTCCTTCTTCAGCCTTCAGAAGGACAGATCACTTTTATATTTTCTTTTTTTTTTTTTTTTGGAGGAACCAGGGATTGAACTCAGGCCTTGTGCTTGCCAGGGAAGCACTTATTCTACTGAGCCATTTCCCTGGCCTCTGTATTTTGTCTTAAAAATGTTTAGGACAATTGTTATTCCTGGCCGTAGCACCCAAGTGTTGCTCCAAACTCCGCACAGCACCAGCAGAGGATGTAACCAGGGAAAGGCAGAGTGGTTCCAATTCACACCCGAGCCTCTGGAACCTACCCCAACAGTGCATGACCTCATAGGTCAGAAAGCCACACTGAGGACTGGCCATATAATAATAGCTCAGCGAATTAAAGCACCTGCAAGCAGGCACAGGGGCTGGGGGTTCAATCCCCAGGCTTGCCATGCTGGCCCCACCCCCAGGGCTTGCTGAGACAGCAATTGAGACTGTGCGTGGTGGCACATGCCTGTAATCCCAGCTCTTGGGAGGCTGAAAACAGGCAGATCACTACAAGTCCAATGTAGTAGTGAGACCCTGAACACCCTGTAGACCCTTTCCTAAAAATACAAAAAAAAAAAAAAAAAAGGGGGGGGGTGCTGGTGAGATGGCTCAGTGGTCTAAAGCACCTACTTAGAACAAGCTTAGCAAAGCACAGGGACTGCGGTTCAATCCCCCAGCACCACATGCCAGCCAGCCCCCCCTCCTGGTGGGCTGAGCTGGCCACACACACACACACACATAAATAAATAAATAAATAAATAAATAAATAAATAAATTTTTAAAAAAGCCACACTGAGGCTTTGGGGTTCAGACACAAGAAGGATCTTCTTACATGGTTCTAGAGGAAGACCCTTCCCTGAAGAAAGACCACCTATTTTTCTTCTTTTAGGGGGGTACTGGGGATCGAACTCAGGACCTTGAGCTTGCCAGACAGGCACTTACACTGCTGAGCTATCTCCCTAGCCGCATGACCACCTATTTCTAACAGAAAAGATCAAAACACACACATGCACACACATGCGTGCACGCACACACACACACACACACAGCCTGTGTTGAGATCTGTACTCACATCTCCTAGCTGACCCAGTTTTGTGAAAATGACCTGTCACTGAAATATGCTTCAAGAGACTAACATCTATTCTAAAGGACCAGTCTAAAACAATGTCTATTTTCCTTGGCTCCACTCATTAAGTGAGGCCTGAAATAATTAAGAGATGAAATCCAAGCTAATACTGGAAGAACTGGTTTAATGGTCTCAATAAACACATATAACTGATGCTTCTGGCTCAAGTGAGGTTTGGGGTAAGATAGAGTTTTGGTTTTTTAATCTCAGGTTAAATGAGATAATATATGTACACCACTGAGAATGGTGCCTGGAACATGTTAGCTTATATTACTAATCTGTGTGAAGATTTTTGTTTTTTGCTGTATTTAAGCATCTTTTCTTCCACTATGGCTCTTTACACAGGCTGTCACATTCATTGCCACTTAGTAAATGTAAGTAAACAAATACCAGAGACTTCCATCTGCTGTGTCTCTGACACACACAATGATGGAAACAGCTATCCAAATCCCCATCACTGAGAACAACACAAATGGCTTAGCCTGTAACATGTGGGTAGTTAAGGTAAACTTCTGAATAGGCTAGCAGATTCCTAAAATTGGGACAATTTTAGTAACAGTTCCATCTGCAGGGAGACAAGGAAAGTGTTTTTTAAAGCCTGCTTCTACAGAAAGACCCCTTAGTCTTTTGGCATGCAGTTCTCTGCTATGTCCCTTGAGCTGCTTCCTAAAGAAACAGGGATAATGCAAATACAAAGCAATACACGAGAGATGCAATCAAACTGGACTGTCCTCAGTCCTAAGGTGCTTGGCACACTATAGCAAGGAAGCCTTCACAGGGACATGATGTGGGAAACAAAGATGATCAACCCAAGAGACACTGAAAAGGACAGAATGGGAAAGACTTTATTTTCCCAGTTCTTCAGGTAAGCTCAACCAGCTGGAGCCTGCAGGTAGAATATAAAATCCAGAAAAAAATACAACTTTTAAAAGTATTGTACATTGTAGATGTTCAATTTTTGCCAGGCCAGAGTCCAGTGTCAGTCTGGGCAGGAAGCTGAGAGGACTGCATGGCTCAGGGATCACACAATCTTCACTGTCTTGAGCATATCTGATAGGACATATGTGTCATCCCAGCCCCTCCCAGGCTTCCTCAGGGTCCGCTCCAAGGCCTGCGCCACTTCGAGGAGCTCTGGCGTGGCAAGCTTCTGCTCAGGATGCAGCTGACAGAACAGGATCTCGTTCACTTCTCCTTCAATTCGCCGAACATACAGGAGAGGAAACACCGCCCTGAGTCCAGCCAGCACTGAGTCCTTTAGCCCTAAGTCTCGGCACACAAGGTTCAGGATAAAGACACCTATAGGGTAGGAAAGAAAAGAGTCGGACTGACCACAGTTCAGGAAGCATAACTGGAGACAAAGATCAGGCAGCTCCAAGGAGAAGGCCAGTTCTGTTCCAGAGCAGCTACTGGACTAAGAAAACAGACCTACAGCAGCAGTGATCACACAGCATGCCAAGGCAGAAAGAGAACAGCACAGAAAATGTGAGCCTCAAGAAAACTTCAGGTTTTAGTCTCCTGTACAGCTAACACATTACCATTCCATGTGCCTTAATTTCCCAAACAGCAGTTCTGAGAAAGAATATCCCCGAGAAAATCCTTTTTTTTAAATTATTTATTTGGTAGAGTCTCCCTATGCAGCTTGGACTAGTAGTGATCCTCCTATTTCAGCCTCCCCAGCACTGGGATTACAGGCATGTGCCACTATGCCCAGTTTCGGCAGCCAGCGAGGCGTGGGGCCAGCATGGCATGTGGTACCAGAGATCATATGAGGGTCTTTGCACTTGCCAGGCAGGCACTCAGCCCACTGAGCTATCTCCCCAGCCCCAGCAAGAAAGAAAATTCTACCAATCCCACAAGGATGTTATATTCTTGACATATACATCATGGAATATCTTTTAACCAATGAGGAGACCAAATTTACCTTGTCATCTTGCAAAAAAGCTTCTAAATCAACCCGGCCCACTACATAACCTTAAATCAAAGCAAAGCACTTAGTGGGCCCTGAACATAGGGATTAAGAGGTCCAGCTTTCAAGTGATAAACACTGGGCTGGAGTTCCCACTGTTAACAAGCAGCACCCTTGCAAGTCACTGGTCTTCAGTTTCCTCCTCAGAAAACGAGCTGCTATGATGATTAAATAACACATGGATTCGTCCAGGACATACAGGGAGAATTCAAGTGGTTGTCAGTGTCATCACGCTAGTTTGAATGGGAACTGCTCCAACCACTTGGTGGCAGAATCTACAAACGCTGAACATCCATGTAACCTATGATCTTGCCATCACAGCCCTGCGTATCCGCCTGAAACCTGCAAATGTATTTCACCAAATGTCCTATGTTAGAATAACAATAGCAGCAGTACTTCCAGTACCCCCCAAAAGGAAACAACTCCAAAATTACCAGTGATAGTGGATACATTAACAGTGCTGTACTCACACAATATGAACAGTGTAAGGCACAGTACTGTGGCTGAATCTCACATGTTATGCAAAAGAAAACAAACATTTGAAGAGTACATAATATATTCCACCTATACAGACAAAAACAAGCAAAACCAGGCTGTGGTGACAGAGCTAGTGCAGTGACTAACTTTGGGAAGAAGATGAGTTACTGAAAGGGGGTAAGAGGTAAACTGGAAGGCAACAAATGTTCTATGTTTGATCCTGTTAAAATATTTATTCAATTTGAAAAATTGATCTAGTTATATATACTTACATATATATTTTATTAAAGATAAAAAACTTATAAAGCTGCTTCCCTCTTTGCTCTCCCACATTTAGTTCCCCATACCTTCATCAGTCAGGATGCTTTTGACTTTGTGCAGGAAAAGCTGGTCCACAAATGCTGGGGGTGGGCAACTCATTCCCAGAGTTGGGTCCTTACTGTCTACATCAAACATTATGACATCATAGTGAGTCCGTGCTAGGAAAGAGAAACAAGTAAGTCCTTGTCTTTGCTGAATAAAATAACTCATTACATTCCTACACCAGGCCCACTCTGAGACCTAATAAGTAGACAAGGGTGGCAAAAATGAGAAAAATGATGAGGCAAATGTAGTTTGTCTGTCATAGTCCAGGAGAGTCCTTGAAATCAATTTAAACTGTCCCACAGTAAAGATGAGGCCTTCTCCCACATTTAAAAGTAACTTCAAAAGGCACATGCATTACTGGGGTCCAGTCCAGCAAGAATATTACACACTCTACATGTACGTTTTAACTCTACAGAGCATTACAATCACCTTGAAAAAGCTTCTGAGCACTTAAGAGAATGTGGGCTCTACTCCTGACCAATGGGGCCGGCAAAATAGCTCAGTGGACTAACACAACTGCTTAGGCAAGCCCAGGAGCTGCAGTCCAATCCCCCAGCACCACATGCTATGCCAGCCCTGCCCCAGGACATGCTGAGCTGGGCAGAATCTGGGTGTAGTGGCACACACCTGTAATCCCAGCACTGGGGAGGCTAAAACCAGAAAGATTACCATGAGCCTCAGCTGCATAGTGAGACTCTATAACAACCAAATACATTTAAAAATAAAAAGGGCCGGCCTGATAGCTCAGCAGACTAAAGCGCTGCTTAGGCAGAGGGCAGTGGCCAAGGTTCAATTCCCAGCTTGCCCTGTTCCCACCCATGGAGCCCACTGAGACTGGGCGTGGTGGCACGCGCCTATAATCCCAGCACTTGGGAGGCCAAAAACAGGAGAATCACTGAGTCCAATCTACGTAGTGAGACCCTGTAGACCCTGCAGACCCTATCCTAAATACAGAGAAGAAAAAAAAAAAAAAAAAAAAACCTGGGACAATAGGATACAGACAGGAGGGGAGATGCAAGTCTCTGATATTTTTCTTCAGCTTCCCAGCTCATTAAAATAAGTACAGAGTTGAGCTGGCACACGTCTATAATTCCAGCACTCAGAAGTTGAAGAGTTCAAGGCTAGCCTAGACTACACTTGAATTCAAAGCCAGCCTGAACTGCCTATCAAGACCCTGTCTCAAAAGCAGACAAACAAAAATTACACAATCACTGATCTAGACAAAACAGGTGACTAGGCCTTTAAGAGCTGACCCAGCAAATAATAATTTTAAATCTGGAAATAGCCTATGTTCCCTCACAGGAGAAAATGTCCTGAAGCCTGAGTTAGTGTCTTTTCTACTTGAGAATGAGGAGGCTCAAAAAGGAAAACATAATGCTACATGAGCGAGACGTTGACCTGAATCTGCTCCTTCCTATAATATTAAGTAGCTTTTACAAGGGAAAAGCCTGAAATGCCACTGATATATTTCGAGCAAATTCTAAATCTGTGCTATTGACAATACAGTAGTGTACTTCTTCGGGACTAGTGCATGCCTATTAATATTCACAGAGCATGTATAATTGCAATGATTTTACTGCATGTTTGTGTGCACGTGTGTGTGGTGTGTGTGTGTGTGCGTGTATTTGCTTGTTTGGTGTGCTGGAGATCAGATATGCTAGGCAAGGACTCTACCACTGAGATATACCACTATGCCTGATTTTAGTTTCTGAGTAAGAAAATATGCTGGCTCACCAAAATTCACGGGAAAAAGACAGCCCACATTTTTGGCCCTGAGTCCCCTGAAAACCTGAAAGTGGTGACAGTTACAGAAGATGACTAGGACTATCCAAAATCTACCTGTAGATAATAACAGCAGCAGTACCACGATGCATTAAATAGCTACCACATGCCAAGCACTGTCACAGATGCCAAATACATACTAGCTATCTTGTTCCTAGGTCTGTCAGCTGCTCCTAGTGAGGAAATCTGAAAAATTGATATGGCTAAGTTCAGTCTACAGTTAAAATGAAGGCTGTCATTTGTCCACCTCAGCCCTGAACATACCCCACCGGGCTTCCTGGTGTGCTATACCATCCTGGAAGACATTTTAAATCAAGGGAAAGAATACCTATCTCTGAATGACCAGACCAGAAAAGGAGAGCATGAGTTCTAGAGCAGAACTGAGCCAATCTGCCTTTTCCCTGAGAGACCAAAGTCACTACAAGCCTCTGTATACAAAGTTGCAAAAGGCACAGAGGAGCTCTTGTCTCTAGCATTTTTGCAGAAAATTAATACATCTTAAAATTAAGTCTATGGGAAAAATTATTAGAGAAAACGTTGCTAGGATTCTAGCCTGCAGAAAGGCTATGAAAGCCCCACAACGTAACACCTTCATCAGGGCTTCACAACCTTAGTGTTGCTAACACCATGGGCCAGATCATTCTTAGTCACCAGTGGCCGTCCTGTGCACTGGAGGATGTTCAGTAGCATCTTTGGCCTGTAGCGTGGCCCCCACACACAATTTTGTGATAACCAAAAGTAAGTTTGCAGACAAATGTTCCCTGAGGCCAAGAACCACAGGTCTACATAAATGTTTTATTGTATTTCTGACTTCACATTCAGCCAAAATGTCTACAAGAAACACCTCCCAACATATAAACATCCTTTCTTCCCTTTTCTATACCTAACTACAGACCTCAGCTTTCTCGGAAGGGTGAGAAAGTGGCAGGCCTATTTTATTTGTTGTTATACCCTTAACACAGTGCTAAGGATAGAGTTAGTGCTCTGTGTTTATTGAATAAAAATGGAAAGGAATGGACAGAGGCTGGAATGGTGCTGATGCCTCCTCAACGAAATTAATTCTAGAGGCCCCTGAGGGCCTGACAACTTTGGGACAGTAACCCCCAAGCCGCTTCCCATGCAACCACAGCAGTACCTTCTCTTCCTGCCAGGCTGGTAATATAGTCCAAGCCATCTGCAATGTGGACTTTCATCCGGTCACTCTGGGAGAAGCCAAACCACTGAGTAGCCACTTCCAGCATGCAGGGGTCGATCTCCACAGCATCAACGTGGAACTTGGGGAAATGATCATGGACAAAGAGAGGGAGGCTGCCCCCACCCAGGCCCACGACCAACAATGCCAGTGGGGTCTCTGTAATAAAAGAAGAAAGCATTGCTTTGCCATCTGTTCACTGTAAACTTTTATACTCACCTCTGAGAAGATAAAAGAAGTTAAATTATTAGCTCTGCTCAAGGACACAAGATTTAAAGATCTGGCCTCCTTATCCCATTCCAAGAATGTAGGAGTTAAATAAAATTTGAAAATTCAACTTTAGCTTCACACTGACAAGATCTGGAAGAAAAACCAAGGTGTTGTTTACTATGGTCCTTTAAAGATCCCAAAGCACTCAGGTGACGCAGTAGCAAGAATAATCTAAGAATTACTAGATGGGGGCTAGGGAGATGGCTCAATAGAATAAGCACTTCCAAATTAGATGAACATCTCATCCCAAGAAATGGAGCAATGGGCAAGGAATTGTATTCATGATTACAAAGGAGTATAGGCATAATACCCCTCTTTTGGCTCTTGACTCAGAAGGCCACACCTGCCTGCTATAACACACCTGCCGGGTGAGCCAGCCCATCCAAGTTCCATAAACCATAGGAAAAACAAGGCCCCGGCCCTAAGCAGAGAAACCACAGCAACAGCAACCACAGGAGACTGAAGAAGACAAGAAACGAAAGAATCACTAAGAGGAGACGAGATTGGATTAAATCTAACAACTGCGACTCAGGGGATATTAACCTCCCCAGATGTTATCCTGTTAATGCCAAGAAAGACCAAAACCACAGGGTGCTTCAGTAAGGCACACTCAGGGATCTCAACTAAAGACAGTTATGAGTATAGAAAGCAATATGAACACATTTGCTAATGCAATCAGATCCAAGCCTGTTGTTATTGAGAGGGCAATCAGTGCACTAAGTATAAGAAAGATTCTTTACAGTAGACATTCAAAATAGAATTGCATCTCATACTCAAAAGCCACACATTATCCAAAGGCAAAAGAAATATGAAATTTAAATGCACCATCTACTCAACATGTATGTAAATTTATATATTTATAGGTATGTATATTATACACAATATATATATATATATATATATATAAAATTCATCAAGCTTAACAATGTAAAATCTGTGTACTTTATATATCTCACTGAAAAACTTTTTTTTTAATTTTCTAAGTTATTTTGTCTACAGTAGCGGAGCAACACCAGCCTGATGCACATTTCTCCTGACAAATCACCTGTGGAAATCTAGTTTGCTGACAGCAGGGTTTTTCTGATTTATCCCAGTAGCTGTGTAGCTCTCTGCACGCACTGGCTGCCATTTGATCCTTAAATTGGTCTGGTTTTTACTTTTTATGTATTTATTTATTTATGTTTTTGTGGAACCAGGGATTGAACTCAGTCCCTTGCGCTCGCCAGGGAAGTGCTTATTCTACTGAGTCATCTCCCCGGCACTTCACTGAAAAACTTTGTACCTTAATTTTAAGAAGCACAGAAGAAAACAAAATTTAGACATCAATACTTGTAACCATTTCAAGTTTACAGGTTAAGGCAAAAGTTTTATGAATGAACTAGAAGTTATAGTACAGGAAAGCCAAAACGGGAGGATCACCAGCCTGAGCAACCTAGTGGCTCAGTGGACCGTCACAAGATAAAAATAAAAAGGGCTGGGGATTTAGCTCAGTGCAAAGGCTCTGGGTTCCATTCCCAGTTTCCCTATCCCCACACCCCAAAAAATACTGATGCTCATTTAACTTAATTTTCTTTTAATATATTTAGAACAGAGTCTATAGAGTCTCACTACATAGATCAGACTCATAGTGATTCTGTTTCCAGCCTCCCAAGAGCTGGGATTACAGGCACACGTCATCTTGCCCAGTCTCAACATCTCAGCATGCCCCGGGGGCTGCACTCTGCCTAAGCAGGCGCTCTAGTCCACTGAGCTATCTGGCTAGCACTATGCTTATTTAACTTAGAAGATAGCTGGGATGAAAAAAAACACATATATGCACTCATCAGTCAAGAATCACCATTCTTAAGCCACAAAGCAACTCATCTACTTCCAGTCTTTCACGCTCTCTACATGAAGGCAGTGAGCGGAGTCACTCTCACCTAGAAGCAGCTCTGGGTTCCCCAGCAGGGTGAGGCCGGCGATCATGGCTTTATGGTGTTCACAGCAGAGGTAACTTCTATCAATGGACTGCCCCGGAGCTGCAGGGAGGTCATCAACAGGCTGCTGCTTCTTCTTGTCCTTTTTCCGTTTCTTCTGGGCTAAAGGAGAGGTTCAGACTAATGAAGCCGGGTGCTTATGTTATCACGTAGAAAGCAAGGGATACCAGCAGTAGCATGCTGCCACTGGATTGATGAGACTTGAGAACCAGCTGTTAAGTATACAGGAATTGTATAATCTGCTTGACTTCAATCATATTGACAGCCCAAAATTGGCCATGGAGGGAATATTTACATCACAGAAGTTGGCAAACTACAAATCAGTTTCCCCTGTCCCCAAGAAGATTAGAACATTCAACACAACCTCTGGATTCCAAGGAGCTGGAAAAGGTGGCAAATGTACTCTCAACACTCTAGGAAAACTCAGCCGGGTACAATGACACATACTTGTAATCCCAACTACTTGGGAGGCTGAGGCAGAAGAGTTACAAAGTTAAGGCTAAGCTAGGCAACTCAAAAAGGCCCTGTCTCAAAATAAGAAATCAAAAGTGCTTGGAATGTAGCTCAGTAGAAGAGCTAGATTCAATCCTCAGTACCACAAAAAGTAATAATAATGATAACTGTTATGGGTCACTCTGCACAGGAACGAGATCAGCCAGATAGAACTTTGAATAAAGCCTTTTATTTACTGAGCTCAGGTCTGTCAGCCACTTCTCACAGGAGAAGACTGATCGGCACCCGAACATAGGTAGCAGGGTGGTATTTGTAACAGAAATCACATCCAGTTTGATAAGCAAATGTGTTATCTAGCACACAACACAAAACTACATTCATTTGACACATCTACAAACTGTTCGCAACTAAAAGATCTTTCACAGCTTAATGATAAGTGCATATTTTTATAAGATACATCTTAAGCTGACCATGTTATAGGAGATGGTTAGGAAGGGAGTTTGTTTTAGCTTGCTGCCTTGACAAGAAACATTTATTGTTAAGTAGCCTTGAGCCGAGGGAGAGAATACATTTCTTAGAGTAGATAACAAGAAGCACAAGGGTTTTTTAATAATTTTCCATAGTTAAGGCACAAAATTCTGTTAACCCTTTACAATAACAAAAAATAGCTTGGAAAACTCAACTGACGGGAGAAAAGTTTACTCATAAATTCGTTAACAGAAGATGCAATTACTAATTCCCTCCTCTATGCCACTTACTAAACCAGGACTTTTTATCTTTTTGCTCTAACATCCTGATCTTCCCATTCTTGGTGCATGTGGTAACTGATTATCTGAAGGGTTAAGTAAACAGGCCCAGAATCAGTAAGCGGCACATACTAACTCCTATCATCTTCCCACTATGTCACACACAGCATCCTCCTGAAAAAGGAATCTGAAGGGCAAACAGCCCACAAAGGGCCCCCCAGCTTTCCCTCCACTGCTCCCTCACTATCCTACTGAATAACTGGTTCTGTGCTCATAAGAACCACCTGGTTTTCACATCAGTGCCCAGTACTGAAGGGTAGCTATAGCATGCTTTCCAGCTCCTGCTCTGCTCACCCACACTGCCACAGAGGAAACCATTCCTCCCACAGGAAGAAATGACAACAAGAAGAAAATGAACTTCACAGTAACAGAAAAACCCAAAACCTAAAACCCAAACTGGAACAGTGTAGTGGTTGATACACAGCGTCAGCTGGAGAAGTAAAAAGCTGAACTAAATCAGCAATTCCATACCTAGGGCATGTAAGGCCCCTCCCTAGTAGCGCATGTGAGGCCCCGCCCTAGAATGACTCAGCACTTAAAAGACATATAAAGGGGACTGAGGAAGGATGGTTCTCATCACTTCCTTGGAGGAGCTCTGGTCTTCAGTCAGTATAAAAGGGAGACAGGCTTGCAAGAAGCTGCAGCTGCACACGTCCTCTTCCGCCACCATAAACCGTTGCCCTCAGCAATGTGCTACTCTGCCTTATAGTCAGCTAAGTAAAGACTAAAATATTCACTAACTGTGAGTTAAATAAACTTTTTCTTTCTTAATTTTGGGTATCAAGTATTTCGTCCCTGCAATGAGAAAAAGATAACTGAGACAAAGGGGTAAAACTATGACTTCCTTAATCACACCGGCCATACTGCACATACTCAGCAGTTACACCTGGTGGCCACCATACTAGACACTCTGGTAAACATTTCCCTCATTACATACAGTTCTCCAGCATGGTGTGGCCCTCACGGCCTCTAAGGCACCCACCAAATCCAACACTCTAACTACAAAGAAACAGGGTTCCCCTGTGACCTCCCTGTTTTCGGTCAGCTCACACAGGTCTACTAAAGCAACATACAAGTACACAGCAACTTGTAAAACAGATGCCCTTTTAAAACTGTGAGTATCACATTTATTTGGCTTCACCACCCCTGTTCATCATTTCAGAGCCACCCTTTGCTCATAAACAGAACAAACTCCAGGATTCTGCTTATCACCACTAGACCCTAAGAGCCAAAGGACAGGAAGGTTCACAGACCCATGTGCCTCTGCCCATAGGTATTCAAATCTGCCCTACATTTCAACCAAGACCCCAGGTCTTTCTGACCACCCCAAACCAAGAACCCATACCATGCTCATCCAGGTACCACCATCATGCCTGTGACACCTCACCTCTGTGAGACACGTCCTTCAGCAGCCTGGCTTCAGACTGTACCACATTCCTGTTGCTGAGGAAGATTAGCCGGCGAAAGTATCGCCTATCATCCCCTTGTACATCCTCAACAACAAAGGCACCACTCAAGGGGCTGCAGTCTTGGTGTTGAACAGTGCGGACTCCAATGTCTCCTCCCACAGACAGAAAGGGCACCTGAAGGTACAGCCAGAGACATGGTGAAAACACCTGCTGAATTATAAGATATGAGAAGCTATAATCCTTGCCTTTGTGCCAATGAGGAATCTCCCTATCAAGGCTCTGGAGAACAACTCCAAAGATTTGTCATTCTATTAAAGTACTTTTAGAAGCCTCTGAATGGACCTTAAAAGGTTCACTAGTACTTCTTGGAAATTAACTGAACATCTATATATCCCCAAATCACTAATGTAATAGTTGGTTCTTCTCAAAACTTTATCAGAACCCCTGAAAAAACCCAATAGTTCAGGACAACAAAATTTTGAAGGAATCCTCGAGAAGGGCTCTAACTATGAAAAGTAATTAAAAATAATAAAATCTAAGAGTGAAACCACTACTCTTAATTTTAAGAAATTTCTTCTCCAAGTTCTTCTCATCTTTTCTCCCCCCACTTTTGTAAATCTTGGGAGAAAGAACACATTTCCCACCTAAACCTCTCCTACCATCTTTATCTTTATTTTCAGAGAACTATATTTGATAATCTGTACTTGTACCAATAATCTGTAACCTTGTGAATAGGAACAATGGTGAGAAAGAGTCACAAACGAAACTCCCCAGAGCACATGGACAACCCTAAAAATAAAATCCCACTGATGGATACCAAGCTCAAAGTCTTCCAGGAAGAATCACACATTCATCTGTCAACACAAGTTAACCTAGTAGGCAGGACCACAGGCTGGGAACCCAGGGCCCAGGATTCGTTTTTCAGGTTTGTTACTAATGCATCAAACCTACAAACACCTTGGCTTTCCCACTATCAAGAAGGATAGCGTTCTTACAACAAGGTCACTCCTCAATTACTCCTGGTGACCACAAGGTACGTTTCAACCAATAATTTAATATTGTATCATTACTTTGGCAAAACCCCCTTTCCTTCCAGACAAAATACCAGACCAGTATGCTGATATCTTGAAGATTGTGTTGAGATGTGTTAGCCCTATCTCCCTTAGACCCTAGATAATGAGAATTTGGAGAAGCAAATGGAGAATTTGGAGAAACTTTTTTCAAAAGTGGAAAAAGAAAAAGAAAGGCTGGTCTGAGCAACCCACAACACAAAGTTAGAAGCTGGGAGGGGTGTATAACCTGTAGCACATGAATTAAACAACCCTGTGTTATTATTAAAAAAAAAAAAAAGCTTTAAAAAAGTAAGTTTTGCTTCTACATGTTTTATATGCAACCCAAGATGATTCCTCTTCACTGTGTGACCCAAACAAGCCAGGTCACAGACATGCCTGGATTCACATTTCCTGCACATAATTTCTAGGGAATTTTAAGAGTCCCTCCTACACTTCCCAACACAGATACTACTATGGTTCTTACAATGAGCAACTGCTCACCTTCCTCTCTGCCTAGGGTAAGGGAAAGTGGTTTCAGTTCTATATAACTCTCTTTTTTTTTTTTTCCATATAACTCTCAACTGCTAATTCCTCCCTAAGGATCAGACAAGGGTCACAGATTCTAGCTCTAAGGCTCCCTCTGTCTTCCTGGTTGCTAACTTGATTCTAAAGACCAGTGAAAGCCGCTGCCCAAGTTTCGGTACCTGCTGCTGAGCGGGCATCCCAGCCGGGGCCAGCTCCATGACTCTGGCCGACAGCTCAGCCTGAATAATGTCCATGCCATCATATTGTTGACCTCGATGAAGCGCCACTGTGATCAACCTCCGGAAGCCTGCACTGGCTGCCAGTTGCTTCAGGCCCTCCTCTGTGCCAAAGAGCCACTCAGTCTCCCGGCCCTGGGGAACTAAAAAAGAGAGACCTGATTACAGGGAATCCTGGGGAGAGTGTTCACATGCCTCCGCAACCACTATGTTCCATGTGGCCGAAGCCAGCCCTACCTAGGACCAGCATCCTTCTTGCCTGTGACCCACTAAGGGGCCATCAATCTGTAGCACAATACACCCAGTAAAGCAGCCCATCAGAAAATGGAAGACCAAGATTAGATAGGAATGTCTATAAAGCAAGGGAGGGAGGCACTTAATGCAAGACAAAGAGCCATAACACCAGAATTTATTATATGTCAGGAGTGATTCCAAGAAGTCTACAAACATAAACTAGAAGAATTTTTACAATAACCCAAGATGCAGGTAACATTATCATTCTGTTTTACAAACGAAGAAATCAGAAGTTACTTTATTCACCCAAGTTCACAAAGCTAGTAAAAGGCAAAGCTGGAACTTAAACCAAAGCAGTTCAGTTAAGGTTCCATACTCTTATCTAGTACACTATTCATTCCCACAGACAGACAGGTGGGATTACAAAACACTTAGAAAAATGGTTCAGCTGTCAGAAAACAAACTTCGGGCATGATCATCACATTTTGCATTTGTCTCGAACTTTCCATGTTTGAAAGAATTTCTTCTTCTAGGTAACTTCTTTACCTAGATTTAAGGTAAATCTAGTAACCTATGCTCCTTTCTATAATAATATTTATAAAGCACTGAACACATGCCAGGAACTATTTGTAAGAAATTTTACATTTCTCACAACTATAGAAGAGAATTACAATCTCATTTATACATAAGCAGACTGAGGCACAGGAAAAGATGTAACTTGTTCAGTATCACATCACCTGAAGTGACTAAGCCATATCCAGAACCCAAATAGCTGGGCTTTTTCAGTTGCTACTTGGCATTGTTCTACAGAGAAACACAGCAACTCACCCAGATCCCTCAGCACACAAGCTATAGTTGTGACTACAACTCACTCAGGGTCCAACTAAATCAGCCCTGCTTCCATCATTCAATGGCACAGTAACTAACATCTCTATGCAATGTGTGACCTGCCTAAATTACATTTATCTCCACTCTCTTCCCCATCAACACCACTGTCACACCCTCTCAGACCTTTGCCATGGAAGGTAAGGAGGAATAAGACTGAAATCTTAGCATGCTGCTGGAAAACTATTCCTACTACTTCACAAAACCTTGGCTAATCTAGCTCTTTGGAAGTACCACCCTCTGAAGACAAAAACAGCCAAGACAAACCCACCCACCAAAGCCCAAACCCAGCCCCTGCCCTTCCAAAGAAAGAGAGGGAGCAATCCCAACTCACTGATGAAAATGGCAAAATAATTGTCCCGCGATGGTTTCACAGCGGGGCTGTCCACCACGTGGAGGGTGTAGCGTGGCTCCCCTGTGTCCCCATTGCATAAGTCCAGAGTCACACTCCCCAGCCCAGACTTGCGGCGAAGCTGGCCACACAGCCAGGCATACTGCTGCCGCTCCTGCACGGCCTCTGCCAGCCGCTCAGCATTTTCCAGCCGCATAGGCTTGCCCTGCTCCTGAGCACACAGCTCAAAGATCTGAAGGGCAGAGCCAGGGACTGGCCTGAACTTGGTCATGATGAAGGCAAAGACAGGCAGGGAAAACTGAGGCTCTGATTCCAAAACCTGGTCCTGGCTGTTGGCAACTTGGTGCACCCTCACCATCCACCCCTCCCGAGAGAAGTGACCCACTGCTTTCTTCAGGATGTGAGCCTGAGCCAGGGAGATGCAGAGGTATCGACCGCCCACCTGCAGGACACGGCCAACCTCAGCCAGCATCCTGTCCACCAGCTGCAGGGTCCTCTCCTCCTCATCGGTCAGGACAGCATCCAGGGTGCCCTTGTCCAACACCACCTGGAATGAGGCATCGGGAAACTCCATGCGGGTCATGTCCATTTTTAAGAAGCTCATCTGGGGCCGGCGGCTGGCATTGCGTTCCCTCATTTGCTTGATGACCACCTCACTGATGTCAATGTTCACTATATCCTGATAGCCCACATCATACAACTGCTCGCTCAGCTCCGAGTTGCCGCACCCAACCACCAGCACCTGGAAAAGAAAATCATGCGCAAGATGGAGGTAATCAAGGCAAAGAAATGCCCTTCCGGCACTTTTTAAAAACAAGGCTTGCCCTAGCAGCTGCCTGATTTCCAAAGGCAGAGATGCTACTGTCAGAAAGTAGTAATATCACAGTTGGCATTAGACTACAGCTTGAAGTATTGTCACACAGCTGGTTACAATACAGGTTACATGCTCTAAGGTGCAGAAATGAATGAATCAAGCTATCCTTTTCTCTGAAAACAGGCATGCATTAATAACACGTTAACAAGCTAAGGAATCCAGACAGTAGCTACAGTTAAAATCTCCTGCTTTCCTGTTAGAAACTCAGGCCCAGCATGAACTCCACTTCTATTCACTCATGCCTTCGTGTCATCAGACAATGAATTACAATTGTGAGGTTTCAAATCTTCCTCTCCTCATGGATTCCATTGCATGGCATTTAGCTATCCAGATATCAAACTTAAAAGTACGCTTTTCTCTCTGTGAAGCAATCTCCCATTCATCCTACAGAATTCTGCTCCGATGTCACCATTCTGAAAAAGCACAGCTCCAGAAGTGAATAAGCTACAGAGCCAAGTAGGCCTGAGTTTAAAATCTCCATGACCTCCTGTATGTCTGAGCACCAACATACTTGTAAAGTAAGTACATGACTTTCACCTGAGTTCATGAAATAAACAGGCTGTTCATATAAGAAAACACTACCCCACATGAAGATTAGCATAAGCTAATGTTAGTCTTTTTCTCTACTTTCCGAACAACCTCACCTCTACTAATTTTAAGTGCATTTCTCACTTCTGCAACATGCGCAGGGATTGCAACTCAACCGTTTTGTGTAAGGACTGAATATAGTGTCTGGAATTCAGTGAGCTCCACAACACTGAATAAACATACATCGATGAAGTCACACTTGCTACTGATCCCAGAGACAGAACAGAACACTTTCAGCGTTGTACTAGTAAAGAAGTCACTCCTGCAAGAAAGGTTATTCAGTGTTGCTCTGGGGCGGGAGGTCTTTAAACGGAAAATCCTTCAGAGAGCCAGACGAGGCATAGTTCCCATTGTGTGGGTTCCTGCAGGGTCCTTGGACCCGCGTGCCCACGGGGTGCACGATTCTGTGAACACTTCCCGCCTTCCCGGGCACACGCACGCACGGCCTGGGAAGCGACCCTTACCTTTTCCTTGGGTTTGATGTATTTGTGCAGCACCCCGCACAAGTCCAGGTAGGTCCCGTACCACTCGAAAGCCTGCTTTCCTCGCTGCTGGAAGAACTTCTCCCAGTAGTCAACAGAGCCAAACTCCTTGGAGCTTTTAGGTAGAAGATTCATGTTCCCTTTAGCCGAGGGGCGAGTTCCGGACCTACCCCCTGCGAAGTACCATCTGAGGGGCTCGGGGGCGCCGCGGGGAGAATTCTACCCAATGACAGACGCCTAGAGATGGGCCCCCCTCAGCACCCAGGAAGGACGCCGACACGGCCAACGCACGCGAGCCGCTGAACTTAGTTTACACACGCGCCCGCGGAGCCCCTCAGCCTCTGGCCCACGTGTAGAAGCCCTCACAGTCGCAGAGCGAGCGTTCAGAGCCCAGCAAGCACTTCCGGGGGTAAGACCTCGTGATTGGTCAGTCGCCCAGCTCCGAGGCGTCCCTGCTTTTTAGTTCCTGACATCTGATTGGCCGAGCGGCACGCACCTCCCTCCGGCCGCAGAGACGCTGCGTGAGGGAGAGGGGGCGGGACCTCGAGCCAAAGTCCTGGAGGAAAAGCTCCGCGCTCGTCGCGCTCCACCCTGCTCCCGAACCGAGCCGCGCGGGGGCGGGCTTTTCCGAGTCTGCACTGCGCAGGCGCAGCGGAAAGTGCGCAGCGCGGCCTGCTGGGCGGAGAGCTGTTCCGCCCTGGGTATAGCCGGCGGGCTCTGGAGTGGACCGCAGGGGAGTGGGGGCGGGTGTTGTCCCCTCCGAAGGAAGTGAAACAGGGGGTGGGACCAGTCCTACGGCAACGGTGCGGCGCAGTCTGTTATCGTCTGCACCTCTGTCCCCAGCCCTGTACCAGTGCTTGTTTGTCCCAGCTGTCACTTAGAAGGAAATGGCGCTTGGTTGTACTTGGCAGGCGAAATACGGGTTCCACTCTCAGTACTGTGATTATGAAAGTTTAGGAGGATGGAGTAACTACTAGGTATTCAGAGAGCCCGCCTCGTTTGGTACTATAGGTAGCTGCTCATTTTGTGTTTGATAAACATACTGTCCTTTAAAATGATCGTTTTATGGGAAAATCTTGAAGTTCCTTGTGACTGGCTCTGTATTGTTAAATCTTACACAGAAGAGTGCAAACAGGCGTGGCACTAGCGCAGACGGCCAAATAGTCTATGTGAGTAGTCAAATAGGTTAAAGTGAACTTTAACTTGGGACCCAGGAGATGGCTCGGTGGAATAAGCACTTCTCTGGCAAGTGCAAGGGCCTGAGTTCAATCCCCGCTTCTGCCAAAATACAAAAAAAAAAAAAAAAAAAAAAAAAAGAAGCTCCAGACTTAAGGCCTCCAGAAATATACGATGCTAAATTTGTGGTTTTTGTGGTAATAAGTTTTGCGATTTATTACAGTAGCAATAAAGCACTAATTCAAAACATAACCCTGAGGGAGAAGCAGCACGCACAGTTGAGGTAGGAGTTCACAGTAGGGGAAAAGAAGCAGATGAACATAAACTTGGGCTAAAGGGCAGGTTTTGTGAAGTCTTTATTCCAAACATTTAACTTAAGCCTGTCACATGACAAAGAGCCAACAAAGAACCAGGTCATGACAGTTGGAAAGCAATGATCCAAGACCTTTCCTTGGAAAGGAGTGAAATATTTGATGACTGATTGAACATAAGGAATAAAAGACCGAAGGACTAAAAATGGTTCCCACTTTAGCCTCTAGCTGACTGAGGAAATAACCTGTAGAAGGAAAAGAATTATCATTTGTAGAACTGCTACATGAAAGGTATTTAGAGGTCCTTGTGGCTGTAAAATCAGAGCCAGAGGTCCAAGCTGTTCTCCCCACTCCGCATGCCTATCCTAAAGTTCACGCCCTTCTCACATTCCATCAGTGGTATCCAGTAGTGATCCAAGAAATGCAAATGCTTCATGAGTGTGATATGAAATTTGGTAAAGGGAACCTCCTTGGGGTTACAAGGAGTGACTCATATAATACTGGAAACTATGTCATTCTGGAAGTCTTCACAAATGGTTTTGTTTTCCACATTTGGGAAGTTGAGAAATAAATGTTCCCCTGTATCTTGGAATAGTGGAAGGCAGGCAAAACAACATTGGATAATAGTATGCCATTCTATTAACTGGGTGTCAACACCTTCTTGAAGATATTGTTGCTACAAGAAGTGATTCTCAAGCTCATATTAGATTACTAAAATGGGATAATAATATTCTTTAGTTTGTATAGAACTTATGATTTACCATGAATTTTTCATAAATCATTTAGAATTCATAGCAAGGGGATTCAGAGCTATGTAAGGTTTTTTTTTTTTTTTTACAATTTTCACATTGATAAAGATGACTGATTTGGGAGAATATGTTAGTATTACAAAACATCAATTATCATTCTAGGTGATTACAAACACACATTGAAGTGTGTGTGTGTGTGTGTGTGTGTGTGTGTGTGTTTGAGCCAAAACTTCAAATGTTTAAAAGTAAATGAAAGGGCTGGGAAGATAGCTTGGCGGTCTAAGCACCTACCAGGCAAGCACAACAACCCAGGTTCCATCTGGTACCACGTGCTGTGCCAGCCCTGAAACCCTAGGTGTGCCAAGCCCGCCTCCCAGCCCGCCTCCCAAACTGGGCATGGTGGCACACACTTATAATCCCAGTGCTATGGAAGCTGAGACAGGAGGATCCCTATGAGTCTGAGCTGTGTAGTGAAACCATGTACCAAATAAATAAATAAAAATATTGTTTTTAAATTTTTTAAAAGTAGGCGCAGGGCCAGGGGTTCGATCCCCAGGCTTGCCAAGCCGGCCCCACCCTCAGGGCTTGCTGAGACAGCAATTGAGACTGGGTGTGGTGGCACATGCCTGTAATCCCAGCTCTTGGAAGACTGGAAACAGGTGAATCACTACGAGTCCAATCTAGTAGTGAGACCCTGAACACCCTGTAGACCCTTCCCTAAAATACAAAAAATAAATTTTTTAAAAGTAAATGAAAAAGTTATAGTTAAAACTGACTTCCAGGGGGCTGGTGAGATGGTTCAGTGGTCTAAAGCACCTACTTAGAACAAGCTTAGCAAAGCACAGGGACCGCGGTTGAATCCCCCAGCACCACATGCCAGCCAGCCCCACCCCCTGGTGGGCTGAGCTGGCCACACACACACACACACACACACAAATAAAAAAAAATTAAAAAAAAAAAAACTGACTCCCAGGATTTTCTTTGTTTGGTAATTTATTCTGTTGCTAAAGATATCTAAGGTTTTCTCATATACATGGACTGCAAGACATTTATAGCCATGTTCATTGAGAGGGAGAATAAGCATATTGCACATGCCAAGTTATTTGCTTTTGGGGACAGTGGGCAATATTTTGAAAGTTGGAAAGTCAGGGAGTTGAAGGAATGGTTCCAAGGAGAATGACCGATTCCTGGTGCACTGGTCCCCTACATGAAGGGATTCACGGAACCTTTGGATCCTACATGCATCTTGGATACTACGAAAGATTATAGTGGTAAACTAGTACAATGTGTTTACCAGTTTTATTTCTGAACTTCAGTTTCTTTACAAGGAAAGAGAAAAAAACTTGAAAAACAACTTGTTTTTCTGCTAAACTCTAGCACTCGGCATTCTCAACCATGAGCATCTCATATATCCCTGGGTTGTTTATTTTGGTTTTATTTTTGGACAATCTGTCTCTTCAGCTCATAGCAAAATATTTTCCACCTCTGAAGGAATGGATTTTAAAACAAAATTTAATAAATGAAATCCATTTAAGTGCTCCACCCAATGTATTTATTTTAACACTCAGATCCAGAGCTATCAATGAAATAAGAACAAAATTCCCTATTGTCCAACAAAGACATTAATGTATTTCACCTCTAAAACTAAAATTCTTTCTTTGCAATGGGGATACATATCCTTTCCTAAGAATAATCTCAAACTACAGTGCCAAAAGTACTCTTTTTAATGCATCTCATCTTTAAATTGTGTATCTTTATCCTTATTGTTCTCATACATGGTTGAGAAAGTTTTTCTCAGTCTATGGAAAATTCATTCAGGCAGCAGCATTTCTGTTTCAACAGTGAACAGAGAAATGTCCTCAAGGAATATGTTGTGGATATTTATGGAGAGAGCTGTCAGGGAAAGAGACCCTTGGCTAAAACTATAGCATAGAGATTAAGAACATGGGCTCAAATCAGAAAATTCTACTTTATCCTTGTGAATTTTGGGTCAGACTTCCTGATTTCAGGTACTTTGCATTATGTGCTTCTTCCCCTACCTATCACACTCCCATTTACTGCAAAGTTAACAATAGCATTCTTAAAATTAAAATATAGTAATATAAAAATCCATCATTTAAATTATACACTTCCATCATTTTTTAAATCTATTTGTAATACACTATTTGGTAACCAACACCACTGATTCCAAAACATTTTTATAATCTTAAAATGAGGCCCCCTACATGTTGGCAATTACTCTCATTTTCCCCTCCCCCATCTTCTTACTGTCACTTACCTACTTTCTATCTATAGATTCACCTATTGTGATCTTTTGTGACTGGTTTCTTTCACTTAGCATATTTTCAAAGTTCATCCATGATGTATCATATAATAGCACTTCATTTTATTGTCAAATAGTATGTCATTGTTTGGATAAATACAGTTAGCATAGTCTTTCATCAAGAGATGGACCTTGGGTTGTTACCACTTCTTTGCTATTATAAAAACACTGCTGTGAGCATTCATGTGCAAATGATTGTATAAACATGTTTTAAGTTATCTATGATACATACCTAGGAGTGAGATTGATGCGTCTTCTATATATATATATGAAGATGCCTTAGAATTATAGATCTAATTATATTATTAGAATTATAGGATTTATGCATTATATTAGAATTCCTATCTAACATAGGAATTAAATTAGAATTATAGGATCAGAAAGAGTATAATGGCCAGCAGTTCATTAGGGCCAGCAGCACCCTGGAGAGCCAGAGGATCAAGGAGATGTTCAGTCTAAGAAGATGAAAACCACAGAGCAAGGAAGATACAGTGCCAGTGCAAGAATGAAGGCTGGGAAGCTCCATGGAGAGTCCCCTTTGTGAGTCCACATTGAAAAGCTAAAGAAGCTGGAGTCTGATGTACACAGGCAATGGCAGTATATACCCCCACATTCAAGCAGCATGAAGCTTCTCATACGCAAGCCAGTTTCCTTCTTCACCTCTCATTCCTCCCAGACTGCAAACCTATTGGATGGTGCTAGCCACAAACAGACTGAGTCCTCCTCTGCTTGCTAGCCCTCATCCAGACAATCCCTAGAAACATCCCCAAAGACACACACACACACACACACACACACGTATATTTTATTAGTCTGCTGGGCATCTTATTCCAGTCAAATT